CGCAGCAGGGAGGCACAAGGAGAGGGTGAGGGCCACCGAGGGCCATGCCAAGGCCACCAAGGCCCATGCAAAGGTCTCCCAATGCCGGGATAGCCCCTTAACCCGCTCAGGTGCCAAGCACAGCTTGGGGGATCACCTCCCACTACAGCTGCCCATCCCTCTCCAACAGGGGTTCCAGATCCTGCTGTTTTTCAAGCCTTTGCTCCTAATACTCTCTCTCCACTGAGAACCAGGTAGAGTTCTCTGGAGCTCTGCTTCCTCTCCAGGGCCTTCCAGAGGAGCACCTGGAGCACCACAGTTCCTGTGTTCCAACACACAAAACACCAACATCTAGACCCCAAACGCCAAAATCCAGATCCCAAATTCCGAAATCTTCTCCCAGTACAACCAGTATCAGTCATCCATACTCCAGTTACGCAGCAACACCAGATCCTTGTGCATCCATGGGGAAGGAGAAGTGAGCTCAGGGCCTCCCAGAATCACCCCCCTGCCACTGGATTGGCAGTAACTCCAGTGGCTGTAACACGACCATCCCTTACTTCTCCACAATTATGTGGATGCTGGAAAAGACCAGAGCGTTGGAATTCCTGAGGAGAAACCCCTCAGGCTGTGCTCCCAGCAATGTCACGGGATGCAGTAACAGCCAACAGTCACATCTTGGTGGCAGTTGTGTCACCCGAGACCTCCGATGTGTAAATCCATCGGGAGGGGACGGACACCCAGCTGGAGCCACCTGTGTGACACCAACCACCGGGACAGGTGTCCCTGTGGGATGAGGAGGTGACAGCTGAGCCCCCCATATCCAGACCCCACACCTGGACTCATCCCAGCACCAAGGGCTTGGGGTCACCTTGCCTTTCTTTGACACTACCACTGGGAATCTGCAGCAATCCCATTCCAGGGATTCCTCAAAATCCATGTGTGCTTTGTCCCTTCTGTCTGCTGTGCCACCACCCAGCTTCATCCAGGCCCCAACCACCATCACTTAGAGCCAAAAAGGCAAAATCCAGGCCCCGGAATATCATCACCTAGACCCCAAAACGCCAAAATCCAGGCCACAAGCACCCTAAAA